ACATGCTTTGATCTGTTCGTTCCAAAGCAGGGAGCTATGGGTAATAACCCCCAAATCTTTTTCCTGATCAGATACTTCAAGTTCTATACCATTTACCTTATAATTTAAATTAGGATTGTTGTTAAAATTAATGTGCACTACTTTGCACTTGGCAGGATTAAATTGTAAAAGCCAAATACTTTCCCAAACTTCTAATTCTTCGATATCTTCAGCAACACTACCGTGGTTAGCTGCATTACCAATTAATTTAAGATCATCAGCAAATAACTTTATCTTATTTTTTACAAGGTCAGGCAAATCATTAATATACAGAATGAATAGGAGAGGGCCTAGAACCGACCCCTGAGGAACACCAGATAAATGTGTAAAATTTTACGGACGAAATGATCCCAGGGGGGACTCCCAACCCACCGCCTCGGCGGGTCGTTGATACACCCTTCACAAGCAAGAGCCACTTTGGTCTACTTGCTGTGAGGTGTATCAGCTACATGGGTTGGGGGTCCCCCCCCTTTTTTTTTTTTCTTTTTTTTTTCCTTATGAGTGATAAGAAAACCAACTCAGAACATGCATAATTTTAATCAGGGGATTAAGACCTTACAATCCGCTGCAACATGCGATTTAAACCTGAACCTGACAAACACTTCATTGTTCATATATCACATCTGAACCAGGAATGTTTATTGGCTAAAAGCCTTAGCTGAAGTTAAGTTGCCATATTATGCACTTACATTTTGTAATTTCATCCAATGAGTGATTTTTCCGATTTTTAATTTATTGCTAGAATGTTTCTCCCATGTTTCTTCATGCTTTTAATTTATTTATTATTGTTATTTAGTATTATGAGCTGATGTGTACATATACATACGGTATCTAAAAATTAAGCGTTATAGCGAGCATATTTAAACAATTTTCAAGCAATAATGTATTGCAAGCAGCTTCAACTTAAATATCGCATAAAAATCATTTAATTCAAAACTAAAATTTTATTGGAATATAGGGAAAACTAAAATAAAATTAATGTCAGACCCGTCGCCACTCTCAGCAGTCAACCAGGGCTCATAAAAGCTTAACAGCGCCTGGGTCCGTTCACCAACTGTGCTAATGTGAGTGGCGGTGTGGTAAGACCCATTTTTAACAGCGTGAATATTTATTAAATACAAGCGCGCTAGCTGCTAGCATACTTGTTCCATTTAATTTTAAATCAAATTTATTCGGATATATATTTATTGATTATGTATTGAATTGGTGATAAATAATAAAATTGTCTTTTCTCAAAAAAATTGTCTTTTCTCAAATTGCAGTGGCAAAGAAGCGTTTTATAAATCGTTATTCCACTGGGATGTTTTTAAAATAGGACATTGTTTTTGATAAATAAAATAAAATATTGTATTTGATAAATAATTAATGTTCATGTTGGTGCTTTACTTTACTTTACTTTGTAATCATTTGGAAACCACCCCCCCCCCCCCCCCCCCCCCCCCCCCCCCCCCTTGGCTGCGTAATATGTAATGACCCCTAGGCCCCAGGATAGGATACTTCATTGCTTCATGCTGAGAGGTCATATTTGATCGAAATCCGATTTAATTTGTCAAGGATCTCTTGGTATGGCCTCACCTGAGGTCTAGTTTAGTTTAGTCTAGACCTCAGGGGAGGTCTGATACCTGAATTGAGAGAAGACAATTATTTTGAGAATAGACAATTTTATTATTTATCACCAATTCATTATCACCAATTCTGCTTGATTGGACTGTCAAAGATTTTGACTGCGCAAATCTTATTTCCCAAACATTATAACTGGCTGGTCACACACATCTCAATTAAAATTACCCTAGGCTACTGTTTTCCAAGTCTTGTCCTGTGAGTAAAGTATGTGTGAGAAAGTTTTAATAAAATTATTGTATATTTACTTTTGAATTTAAAAAAATCTAATTTGAGAATGAAGTTTAAAGAAATTTTAATTAGCACTGTATAGTTTAAGATATTTATAGCTTATTATAACCATTGATACAAAGGCCATAATCTTTCGCCAGCTCTCCAATATCCACCTTGAAAGCTTGAAGCTGCATTTTATATCCTTGAACTACACAATATAAACTAAAGAATGTTTTAGTGTAGACTTTTTGTCACAACAAGACTGCAACCTATAATAACAACTATAAACAGAACCCCTAATGTCTGCTTACAATTTTTCTTCTAGTCCTAATCTGAGCCTTGTCTCTATAAACTTAACTGAACTAGCGTTTCGGTGTGTGCAAAAGCTTCCAGGCACGTGCATTCCTTGCCCCGTTAGTTACCTGTCCTTCCAAAACCAAACCAGCAGTCAAGGACAAAAAGTCATACACCAAATGGGCATTATATTTTATGAATTGTTTTACATCTTTTTATTCTGTAAAAATGTGCTAAAATTAATTTTCTTGTTTCATTGAAATTTCTTGTTTCATTGATTACACAATCAATCCATAAATATATAATATCTGAATAAAGAATACCAAAATAAATTTTAGCGCTAGATGATAACATCCAATCCATACAATTATAAATATACTTGTTTTGACTGCAAAGTAAATGATATGAGTATTAATAAATATTAATAAATATTATTCCGAACCCTTAATTGTAAAACCCGAAATGTAAATCCTTAAACAAAACACCTTACAAATTTTAATCCTTCTAAATCTAAAATTAAAACATTTTCAGTTTAATAAATAATTCGTATCATTGATTCTGCTGATGACTGGTTTTAGTTGTGCAGCATGTAACTTACATTGATTAATTGATCCTGACATGCAGCATACTTCTGGTTAAAACATAGCTGATCCTTATTCCTTCAATTTTGTATCTGTATCAATTTTTGAATATAATCAATAATATTGTTCTTAATTTATAGAATGTTTGCTTTGCTTTGTAATATGTCTTAAAATGTCTCATCTGAATTTGACGCTTTTTCCCTTATATTTAGCTGTTTTAGCTTTGATAATAGTTTCTTAAATACCCTTAATTTTGCAGGATGTCTTGATAAGCCAGAGCCTAGCAATCATGGGAACTCGAACATTCAGCAGATCTCTATCCCTCAATTTGAAGCCTTTGAGTGACAATGATCTCATTAAAGATAAACCTAATCCAACAATCGTGAGAATTACACCATACTTGTCCCTTGGAAGCGAAACTGATGCTGCTGGCGATGTAAAATCTCTGGGAATAACTCACCTGCTGAACACCAGTATAAGCAGCCCCAACATACAAACCTCTGGGTGTATGAAGTATAAGAAAATACCCCTGAAAGATCAGACAACTCAAAATGTAAAAGATGTCCTTGAAGAAGCCTTCTGTTTTATAGATGATGCCCGTAATAACTATGGTCATGTTCTGGTGTACTGTTTTGCAGGGATCTCACGAAGTGTCACAATAACTGTTGCTTACATGATGGTGCGTAACAAAATGACTTTTGAAGAAGCATACTCTTTTGTCAAATCCATCAAGAGTGACATATCCCCAAATATTGGCTTTATTGGACAGCTCCACCAGCTAGAGCAATCAATCACCCACACTAAGTCCTCCAGTGCTGATCGGTCAGATTTTTTTTGAAAAGACAGTTCCATTAACCATCAGTAACCATGTTTATCATTTTGTGACTCCGGCCATGCTTAAATTGTGAGTGGTTAAACTGTATAAAAAGCATAAAGATATATGTTGTTAACCTATATCTAGTAACTATAGCAACTAACATGGTAACTATCGCAACTAACATGGCAGCAACTTACACGGCAGCCATGGTAACTTGTAATGTTGCTAACCTATATCAGAATGCTCATCAGTTTTCCTTTACAATATGTTGGATTGGCTTTTTTGCTATTTATAAATTGGAAGTAGCAATCTATGAAGCTGGACTCAACTTCAATAATGGTTAAGATCTAATAAGAAACAATCTGTTAACATTTCCAAACCCAGATATTGCGTAATGGAATTCTGACTTTCAAGTCATTATTCAGTAAGGTTATTTTTAAAAAATCATAGAACTCAAATTTAGGATAGTTTGGATAGTTTGGAAATGGGTTAAGGGATAATAGACAATAACAAGATTTGAAGATATGTTTTAACATGCTGGTCTTGAACAAAAGAACAGTTTTAAATATGAATCATTAAATATGGATATCATATTTTCAGCGTTCCACGATAAACTTTCTGAGGTAAATTAATAATTTTGCTCCACTTTGTAATTACCATAGGTTCATAATTATGAATATTTATTATTACATATTTCTAGATATAGCTTATCTTACATATAATTATAATTTACATTTAATAGATCAGCTGCTCTCTTACTTATGATACAATTATTATTACTAAGGCTGATGTCATTTTAGTTGTATTCTATCGCACGATGCATAGTTTGATTGTAAAATGATTTTGTAAAATATAATAGGTGAATAAGATTTCAGATATTAAAAGTATTCTGATTATGTTTAAAATCGTTTTCTAGTACCAGACATCTTTAATAAGACACCTGCAAAAATGTAAATCCTACTCTCAGCTCAGGTAGTAACAAATGTTTAAAATTTAATATCCTGAAATGTTTTTTGTTTGTTGAGTAGAGCTTGTAACAATAAAGAGTTTCTGCTTGATATTATGTTAAGCATTAAAATAAAATTGGTCATTAACTGTATTATATGAAAATTATCGTCCAAATAATAATGTAATAAATTACTTGTGTAACTACTCTAGTAGCAGGGTGTAGTTACACACTGCTACTAGAGTAAACAGCAATTATCAAGACGATTTGTTGTATAAAAGAAATTGTTCAGAAAATTTGTTTGTTTTCCTGTGTTTTCTCATTCTCTAAAAATAAGAGTTTGCTGTGCTAAAATAACTCTTCATAATCATAAAATAAAATCTGATATTTTCCTAAGAAATTAGTTTGTTAGTTCCTCAGTAGAGGTTTATTATACTGCCAATATAATTATAATTATTATTATAATATGAAATTAACTCTCCACTTTTAAAGCTTTTAGTAATGCGTTGCGTGCTGGGCCCACATTCCATGAAGAGGATCTGTACAAGAGGCTTTAAGTCTTCAAGTGGCCTCAGGGTGAGCAGTGAGTCCACATCATGTGTTCAACATGTGTTCAACATGTGTTCAACATGTGTTCAACATGTGTTCAACACGTGTTCAACACGTGTTCAACACGTGTTCAACATGTGTTCAACATGTGTTCAACATGTGTTCAACACGTGTTCAACATCACGTGTTCAACACGTGTTCAACATCACGTGTTCAACACGTGTTCAACACGTGTTCAACATGTGTTCAACATGTGTTCAACACGTGTTCAACACGTGTTCAACATCACGTGTTCAACACGTGTTCAACATCACGTGTTCAACACGTGTTCAACATGTGTTCAACATGTGTTCAACATGTGTTCAACATGTGTTCAACATGTGTTCAACATGTGTTCAACATGTGTTCAACATGTGTTCAACATGTGTTCAACATTTGTTCAACATGTGTTCAACATGTGTTCAACACGTGTTCAACATGTGTTCAACATGTTTTCAACATTTTACATTTCTTTTATAATATATATATTATACGAAAGAAATAGATTGTGATAATTTAATAGTAAAATGTTCAATAGAGTAGGTACCTATATAGTATATATACTATATAGGTACCTACTCTATTGAACATTTTACTATTAAATTATCACAATATATTTCTTTCGTATAATTATTTTATAATTAAAGTTTCATTCACTCTGAAATTGAACAATTCACTAAGACCGAACAATGAGAAAGTTAGTAAGAAGAAATAAACATGCGCTATGTGTGTAACTAGAGTTACACACATAGCTTGTAACATGTGATATCTCAGGAGGTGGTTATTGTAAGCGCAGCCAGAACACCCTTTGGGAGCTTTATGGGCCCGCTTAAAGACCTTCCTGCTACCAAACTGGGTGCGTTATTTTATAATTAATATTATTAGTGTTATTATTAAACTGGGTGCGTTATTTTATAATTAATATTAATAGTGTTATTATTGTTATTAATGTAGGTTTAACTATCAATAATCTGAATCATTTTAAAACTTTAGTTCGATACTTAGATGTTACTGGATATATATAAACAATAGCAAAGCTACATTAAAACACAGCTACAGGTATAATATTAACTCCTCTCATCTCCCCAGGAAGTATAACAATAAGTTCAGCAGTAGAGCGTGCTGGGATAACTCCGGAGCAGATAGAGGAGGTGTACATGGGTAATGTCCTCTCAGCGGGGATGGGACAAGCTCCCGCAAGACAAGCTGCGCTTGGTAACTACTTCTCTTATTTTGTTATTCATACATTTAAAATTGTTAAAATTCTATAGTTTTTTCTGTATTTAAAAAATCCTGAAATGTTTTATTCCTGATGATATGTTGAAATTTCGTCATGTCAACATAATATCACACTTACTCAGTACGGTTATTCAGCATTATCTTACTAACATTTCTGTCGTGTACTAAGTGTCCCAATTTGAGCCTCAATTTTGAACAATATACAGAACACTACTTTAGGCTTACTTACAGAATAACTTACAAACTTACAGACTTACTTACAGACGTACTTATAAACTTACAGACTTAATTACATACTTACTTACATACTTACTTACTTACCGACAGACTTACTAACAGGCTTACTTACAGGCTTACTTACAGACTTACAGACTTACTTACAGACTTACTTACAGACTTACAGACTTACTTACAGACTTACTTACAGACTTACAGACTTACTTACAAACTTACTTACAAACTTACAGACTTACTCACATACTTACTTACATACTTACTTACTTACCGACAGACTTACTAACAGGCTTACTTACAGACTTACAGACTTACTTACAGACTTACTTACAGACTTACAGACTTACTTACAGACTTACTTACAGACTTACAGACTTACTTACAGACTTACTTACAGACTTACAGACTTACTTACAAACTTACTTACAAACTTACAGACTTACTCACATACTTACTTACATACTTACTTACTTACCGACAGACTTACTAACAGGCTTACTTACAGACTTACAGACTTACTTACAGACTTACTTACAAACTTACTTACAAACTTACAGACTTACTCACATACTTACTTACATACTCACTTACTGACATGCTAACGAACTTACTAACAGACTTACTAACAGACTAACTTACAGACTACTTACAGACTTACTTACATACTTACTTACCGACATGCTAACGAACTTACTAACAGACTTACTAACAGACTAACTTACAGACTACTTACAGACTTACTTACAGGCTTACTTACAGACTTACTTAAAAACTTACTTACGTACTTATTTACTTACTTACCTACAGACTTACTAACAGACTAACTTAAATACTTACTAACAGACTTCTTATCTCTCAGGAGCAGGATGTCTGGACACGACCCCTTGTACTACTATTAACAAAGTGTGTGCCTCTGGGATGAAGAGTATCATGTTGGCAGCTCAATCTATCGCTTGTGGAGCTAGGGTATGTTGAACACAAGGAAATATTTTTAAAAGGCAAAGTTTCATTTTTAAAGTAGATTAAAAGTTGGATTAGCTGATGTTATGTTATTCAGTTGTTCGTGTGAATAATGAAATTGCTTTCAGTTAAAAACATTTGAGGTGGAAGATGAGTCTATGCTAAATTCCCATTCGTCTTAGTACAGCTGGAATACACGAAATATAATATGTAATTATTATTTCAGGATATCATGGTAGCTGGAGGTATGGAGAGTATGTCTAATGTTCCAATGTTTGAAAACAGAACTGCACCTGTTTACGGAAACAGAGTTGTAAAGGTGAATATTACGTGTCAATGTGTCATATAAACACTGGCAATGTTCTACTACTACTAGGTCGGAACTAAGTCCGATAACCCCTCAATATATCCCTGTCCTACAGTTCAACTTTAGTCTTTTAGTCTTAGAGTTTGTCCCAACTTCCCTCTGTATCATAGACAAATAGCTTTGTCTCGGTCGGCCTTGCTGTGCTCTACCATGCAAAGGTTCCCATAAGACTAAACAGTCTAGAAGTGTCATGTAAACACTGGAAATGTCACGTTACACCCATATAAGGGCATGTAAACACTGGAAATGTCACGTTACACCCATATAAGGGCATATCACGTGATCACATTAGCAATGTCTGCATGTCTGCACAAACCGACCAATAAACAGAACTATTAGCTCATCTCTACATATTTGAAGAGCATAACATGATAGTTACACATTGTTTACATGTACAGTAAACAACTAAACAACTAAACATGTATGAGTGATGGTAGTCTCGTGAATTTGTTGGTAGTAGACAAACATACGTGATTCAGCTTGTTAATGTACATTGTACGTGGTATTTGCTTGTTGGTTGGCACGCGATGTGCTTACAAGCAAAATCTCACGTGTCAAACTTAGGCTCAAAAACGGAAACCTATTATCATAATAGGCTATTATGATATACATATATTATATATTATGATATATATATGGTATATTATATAATGGTCATAACCCTGAGTACATTAACTAGTCTAAAGATCTAATCTAAAGATCGTACTACAATGTTAATTTGTGATATAAAATATAAAGTAGACAGCATTCTCCACCGCAATAAGTTAAGTATACTGATGTTCTCACCGTATAACATTACGTAGTGTTTGATTACCTATTCTCCAGGTATTTCAAAATGTGAGATGTAGTAAGGAACTTTCTACTTTTGAGTTATGACTCATACCCATTGATTTACCTTAGTTTAGTAGGAGAAATTTGTATGTATACAAGAGTGTAAACAATTTATATACATTATACAAGAGTAGTAGGAGACAAGAGTGTAAGCTGTAGAATATTTATAAACTTCAGATTATGCCCTTGAAGTAAGTAAAGATAGCAAGACTAAGTAAAGATAACGAATTATCCTAACTAAAGTCCCTTTACCCAGGACGGTATTCTGCACGACGGACTGACGGACGCGTACACACCCGGGCTACACATGGGACATTGCGGAGAGGACACAGCAAGTACCATGTCCATATCACGTGACACACAGGATGAGTATACTGTGAGGAGTTACAACACTGCTGCAGCTGCTTATCAGGTAAACACAAGGAAATATCTTATCAGGAAAACACTGCTGCAGCTGCTTATCAGGTAAACACAAGAAAATATTTTATCAGGTAAACACAAGGAAATATCTTATCAGGTAAACACAAGGAAATATCTTATCAGGTAAGTTTAAAACAAGGGAATAATATTATTCTATCACCGTCAAGGTTTTGATGGATGGATATTTTGCTGGATATTTCCATTGCAGTTATGAAGTATGAATAATTAATTAATTAGTTAATTACAACTCTTTGACTATTTTAATATAATCCTCAGAGTGGAGTACTAAGAGCAGAAATAGTGTCAGTCCCCACCCCAAACAGGAAGAACCCTGACCTTACGGTCACTGATGACACTGAGTATGCTAATGTGAGTAAGTGAGCTGGAGAGTCACATGTTGCCTTCACATGTTGCCTTCACATGTTGCCTTCACATGTTGCCTTCACATGTGACCTTCAATAGGGCCGCTTATTGTCACATTGAGAGAAGACTTGCCGCTAAGGAAGACTTGCCACACTTAATACTATATTATTTAATTTATACTGAACATATCTCCAACAGTTAAACCCCCCAGGTAAAGTTTGATAAGATCCCGACACTGAGGACAGTGTTTGACAAAGCAGGCACTATTACAGCAGCAAACAGCAGTAAACTATCAGATGGGGCTGCTGCGTGTGTGCTCATGTCACGTGATATGGCGGACAAACTGGGGCTGGAACCTCTAGCTAAGATACTCAGTCAGTACAAGTCCGGGTTTCTCTTCTTTTTAATCTAAAAAATCTATCTAAAAAATGATTTAAAAAGGTTGTATTCCTGCTTAAGATCGGATGACAAATCTTGTTGTTTTTAAAAATGAATCATACAATTCTATTTTGAGACTGTCTTAAAGTCAGATACATATGTAATTGGTTAATTGCTAATCTATAACAATTAACCTCTATAACCCCCTAACAATATATCTATAATAATTAACCCCCAGCAATGGCAGACAGTGCAGGACCCCCCATAAAGTTCCCTATCGCCCCTGTACGAGCTATGGAGCTGTGTTTAGAGAACCTGGGTATCAGTGTAGAGGATCTCCAGAGAGTAGAGGTTAATGAGGCTTTTGCTGTGGTTGCTGTAGCTTGCCAGCAGGTGTGTTAGTGAGCTAATTGTGGTACCTGATTGGTTGTTGTATAAACACGTTTAATGTTTTTAGTATTTAAGTTATTACCATTTGTTTTGGATGTTTATTGTATCGTTAACTACTTCAGATTTTTGTAAAGTTGGATAATGATTGGTTGTTGGTGATGATTGGATAGCCATTTCATGGTTCAGTTGTACGGTATAATCTACCGTCTAAGTTAGCTTTTATAGTCTACACAGTGACACATTTGTTAGTTGTACTAAGTACTTGGATTATAATACAGAAACGTGACTTTGTAGAAATGAGCCGACTTTATTATTTTATTCTGTAGAATTTTACCTCACCTTTAAGAACCGCTCTGACATGATTAGTACCTGAAACTTGTGTCAGTTGCTAACCATATGGGCGGTATACACTATACAAGCACATTATACTGTACATTATACATTATACATTACACTATACAAGCACATTATTTCATTTCATATCAGATGTTGAACATTCCTTCGGAGATCTACAACCCTAACGGAGGAGCTATTTCTCTTGGTCATCCTATTGGAGCTTCAGGTAAATAACTAAATAACCCTTCCTTTGATATTTATTTATTTATTAATTGGCCTTTACAAACAGGGAACTGATCTTTAAAAGTGAGATGTTTGCTGTCATGTTAGCTGGTTTTAGTGTGCTACTCACTAATATAAGGAGCACTGGAGAGTTAGTTGAATTTGAAATGTGCCGCACACGAACGTGTGTGAAGAAAGGGCATTTGCAAATAAAATTGACATAATCAAATTACATAAAATCGTCAATTGTTGAATTGTTGTTGGGCGACCGACGCTTTTGGTGAATTAAAACCTTTTTCCTCTAACCACATTTAGTCGAGCCTTTTGGCAAGTTATCAAGTCCTACATTTTATTCTTTATAATATATTATGTAATTGAGCAATATGTAAACGCTCAGGTACGACTTGTTATTCTTCAATGTAAAGTTCTACAATTTTACACACGTCGAACTTAAGTTTTATCTACTATATAATAAAAATCGCGTTCTACGACAGTAATAATTTAATGAAATTATAATCTTTTCGGAAAATGCAGCAGCAAACACTCAATAATTCTCGAACATCGAGAAAAAGATAACAATATCCCCACAAAAAACTTCCAATATTGGTTTAGTGTCCCCACCCCACATACAACCTCTTCTGATCACCTATAAAGCGGCCATTAAGCAGCCATTAAGCGGCCATTAAGCGCATATAAAGCGGCTATAAAGTGGCTATAAAGCAGCCATCAAGCGGCTATAAAGCGGCCATTAAGCAGCCATTAAGCGGCTATAAAGCAGCCATCAAGCGGCTATAAAGCGGCCATTAAGCAGCCATTAAGCGGCCATTAAGCGCCTATAAAGCGGCTATAAAGCAGCTATAAAGCGGCTATAAAGCAGCTATAAAGCAGCTATAAAGCGGCCATTAAGTGGCTAAAAAGCGGCCGGGGGGGGGCCAATGGCATAAATGGAGAAAATGGAGAATTACTCATAGGTTTTTCCATTTTCTCCATAGAAATAGTCTCCATTTTATGCCATTTTATGCCATTTTATGCCATTGAAAACCTGAAAAATTTAGAATTTCGAGAAAAATTATTTTTAAAAATAATATTTTCGGCTAATAATGAAGAGGGTAGCATGAAACGTGGAGAAAAGTGGTTTTTAGAAAAACTTTGAAAAATTTTGACTTAGAAAATTTTCGGCCCGAGTCATTCTCGATACGTACCTCTCGTATCGAGAGCTCCCGATTCCGAGCTCGTGTTGCAAAGGGGAGGCCTGCCTTCCGAGATCGCATTACCTCGAGTCCAAAATTGTGTATCGAGGGGAAGGTGTGGACTTCGAAAAACCGAAAAAATATTTTCGGCAAATAATGAACAGGGTAGCATGAAACGTGGAGAAAAGCGGTTTTCAGAAAAAAATTTGAAAAATTTTGACCGAAAAAATATTTTCGGCTTATAATGAACAAGGTAGCATGAAACGTGGAGAAAAGTGTTTTTCAGAAAAACTTTGAAAAATTTTGACTTTGAAATTTACCCCTCGGTACACAATTTTGGACTCGAGGCTTCCCCCAGGTAATGCGATCTCGGAAGGCAGGCCTTCCCTTTGCAACACGAGCTCGGAATCGGGAGCTCTCGATACGAGAGGTACGTATCGAGAATGACTCGGGCCGAAAATTTTCCAAGTCAAAATTTTTCAAAGTTTTTCTAAAAACCACTTTTCTCCACTACACGTTTCATGCTACCCTCTTCGTTATTAGCCGAAAATATTTTTTTGGTTTTTCGGTTTATCGAAGTCTGCACCTACCCCTCGATACACAAATTTGGACTCGAGGCTTCCCCTGGTAATGCGATCTCGGAAGGCAGGCCTCCCCTTTGCAGTGCGAGCTTGTTTCGACTTTCGAGGATGTAGGTCTCACTTCTCAGTGCCTATTACTCTCCCCTATTACTCACTCCTGCTGTAGCCTGTAGAAATAACTTTACACTAGGCTTGAGTAATTATGAGTTTGCCTGAAGTGTGCCTCTACTAACCTAGTATAAGCATCTAGTAGCCTACTATGAGCTTTCATAAGCTTGATACGCCCCTAGTAAGCGTAAATAAACATGTTAGGTCGTCCAATTTAGGTGTTTAATGGTGTTAAAGATGAAATTTCGAAGACAAAATTCATGGCATAAAATGGAGAAAATGGAGAATTACTCATGGGTTTTTCCATTTTCTCCATAGAAAAAGTCTCCATTTTATGCCATTTTATGCCATTTTATGCCATTTTATGCCATTGGCCCCCCCCCAAGCGGCCATTAAGCAGCTATAAAGCGGCTATAAAGCAGCTATAAAGCGGCCATTAAGCAGCTATAAAGCGGCTATAAAGCAGCTATAAAGCGGCTATAAAGCAGCTATAAAGTGGCGGCTATAAAGCGGCGGCTATAAAGCGGCGGCTATAAAGCGGCGGCTATAAAGCGGCGGCTATAAAGCGGCGGCTATAAAGCAGCTATAAAGTGGCGGCTATAAAGCGGCGGCTATAAAGCGGCGGCTATAAAGCGGCGGCTATAAAGCAGCTATAAAGTGGCAGCTATAAAGCGGCTATAAAGCAGCTATAAAGTGGCGGCTATAAAGCGGCGGCTATAAAGCGGCGGCTATAAAGCGGCGGCTATAAAGCGGCGGCTATAAAGCGGCGGCTATAAAGCTGCTTATAAATAGTTATTATTATTATCTTATTCCCCAGGAGCCCGACTGATAGGCACGATGGCACACACCATGAAGTCAGGAGACAAGGGACTAACTGGTATTTGTAATGGCGGAGGAGGCGCGTCTGCTGTTATCATTGAGAAATTTTAGAGGAGAGGAGAGGAGCTAGGACTGCTTCTAGTCTCTTCCATAGCTGAGACTAGTGGTGACTTTTTATTTGGTTTCTTTGCAGAACTTCCCTTTTTAAATAGATTAATTAATGTAGGCAGATTTTATTGCCTGTTGAAATAATTAATAACGTGCAAATTTAGATCTATAATAGATAGTATGATGAGGGTTTTGATTTGTTGAATTAAAGGTTTTGGGGTCTGCGTCCCTGTCCCTGTCCCTGTCCCTGTCCCGCCGTCCCGTGCTAAATTATGTTCATGCTCGTTAGTCTCTCAAGTTTCATACTTTTTCCACATATTTTCTACGGCTTTTATACGACTTATATAAAGAACCTTAAATATATATCGTGTTGATAGCAAACACTATATGACAGGTTAAGTTCACAGTAGTAACAAATAGTGCAGCTAAGAATACCAGGTTATATAGCACTATTAGTGCTGGTATTCTTACTACATTTTCTTAATAAGCTGGTGTAGGATTTCAAGCTCTTTTATTTGCTGTGTAGTTTAGTAGTTTAGTTTAGTAGTTTCTAATTTGGGTTTAGGGTTGTTGATTTGAGGTTCGATGATTGTTTAGTCTTCGATTTTGTAATCTTTGTAGTTAGTTCACCTCTGTTGTTCTTGATTGTTCGGGGAGCGTTCGAATTCCCATAATTCTAAAATTTGTTAGTAATCAAAGTGTGATTTAGTAATTTTATTAAGTGAGTGATTTTTTTTCAGTATATTGAAGGAGTAAGTTTAGTAATTGTATGTAGAGATTTTGGCGGTATTCCAGAATGTAATAGGCTTATAATATGTGTCGTGATTGTTAAAATTAAAATAGATTTCGGATATTGTTATTCTGATGAAAATTTATAATTTATTCTAAAACCCGTATTTATTTTTATTTGCTTTGCTCTCTGTTTCAATCAATCGACTTTCTTATAAGTGGTATGGACTATGAATCATACTTTATGAGCGTTCACTTTAAACTCTAAACCATTTGAGTCAAAGATTATTCCATCGCAAAGAAAACTGCATGTGTTAATTGAACAAAAACCATTAAATATAACTTTCATTTATAGATTAAACTGAATCTAAATATAACTCTCACCTCTAGTATAGCCCAACATGAAGCGATGAAAACCCCAATATAATCTGAGTGACCATCAATGTGACTGATCTGACCTCACATACCCCTGATCCGATGATAGCTGACCTATTAAATAGAAGATCCCTCGGATCACTCACTTCTCTCCAAGAAGACTCTTTATCTAATTTTAACGATGCCTTTACCAAATATGGCATCCGAAAGTCAAAGGAGTTCATAAAAGCTTTCGGTGTGTAGTGTTTTACACACATTTTGGTGAGGATCACATTCTTAGTGTGGTCACTTCTCATGGGGTGAGTAATTGTAAGTGCTGAATATTGAATAAGGTATTGTAGTGGTCATTGTGGCTCTAAAGTAGTTGAAGCACAGCAGATATCGTATATCGGGTTAAAACCATTGCAAAACCTGAAGAAACAGTTTAAAACATGTAACATAATTGTCATGGTCGTCAAACATGTCACGCCTCTTAGAATATTATCTCCCGCTTAAGGTCCGGGGGGGGGGGTGGTCTTCAATCAAAATTCTCCGAAATTTGACTTTTTAGTTGTTCTGATAAGGTATGATATCTATCACTGCTTTTGATCCCCATGAAAATATGTCCTATCCAAAATTATCGCCCGGTCAAAAGGGTCAGCGCTTTATACATGTTATTTGTATTGCTGAGTGATTCTCATCGCACCCTGATAATCGAGTCTAAAAAATCTTTCATCTCCAACATGTTTTGAAACAATCACCCAAACTTCAGGATATTAATGTTCTAGGGATCATTTAAAAGAGATCAATCGAGCCGAATTTGATATAGTCCTCAGAAAATTTTTTTTTCATTTGGAAAAAAATCTTAGACTGGAAAAATCGTAAAAAACTTTCGCCCCCATAAAGACAACGCACATTAAATCAAATTAAAAGTATCACGTGGTAAGTTAGTTTACCAGATATCTTAAATCGTATCCGTGGTTATCTCCTCGTGATCCCCTCGTCATTCAGTCAGCTCAATAAGCTTTATCCCGGCCCCTTGCTGCCCGCAATTGCTTCTTTAGCTGCCAGCAGGTCACACTTAAATAATTAAAATACTGGTATAACTGATCGTGTGATTAGGCATGTATGAAGATCTGATGCTTTGGTAATCTTAGTGGTAATCTTAGTGGTAATCTTAGTGGTTTAGAACAGTGCAGTGTTAGCAGACCCATTATAAACTTATCCTCTTTTTCTAATTTGGTGTTAATCAACCCATTACCTTCTCTCTACTCACCTCCTTATCTCCTCACTCTCTTCAGAGCTGCTACAAGTGATACAGCTGCCAGACTACAGAACAGCTCTCAAACTCAGAGCTATCCAGCGGAAAAGCTATGGAGTAGTGACTAATATTACAAACGGTAGCAACTCCCTGAGACGTGTATGTTACATGTAGTTGAAATTAGTGTTGGAAAGTAATGGCTCATTTTTTTGACAATGAAATTTCCACTTAATTTTGCATATTTAGTAATGAAAATATATACTTTTTATAAAATACAATTAAAATACTAAAATTAAAATGTTGCTCAACCCATCGTCCTTTAATACTAGGGACATATTTGATAAAAGAGTAAGACAATTGTCTATATCGACTTACTGTATTATGGTGCAGGGGTTCTTCATGGAAATTTCTCAAAACCGACTTTTTAGTTAGTTGTTTTCTGATATAGGAGTAATATCTACCAGATGCTTTTTGATGCCGTGGAAAAATATCGGTTCAGATCGAAATTATTGCCGGTCAAAGTCAGCCGTGAGTGGTAATTGTATTGCGCGAGCGATTTTTGATTGCGTGCCCCTGAAAATCGAGTCTAAAAAAATCTATTTTCTCCCTACATTTTTTGAGACAAATAATCACCCTGAAACTTTAATATACTTAAAGTCATATTGTGAGGAATTAGAACTAGACAGAAACAAAGTAGTAAAGGCTGAACGAACCCCGAGAGCTGAGTGTTTTAAAACCTCATCTCTCTCTTCAGTACACAGGGTAGATGCTAGAGACATAGTACATGATGGGAAGACACAGACCTACCTCCTCCTACTACTCTCTCTCTTCAGTGCACAGGTAATGCTAGAGACATAGTACCTGATGGAGAACACAGGAAACTACTAAACCTCTCCATTACTATCTTCTCTCTCTTCATGTACACGGGTAGATGGCTAGAGACGTAGTTTCATGATGGAGACACAGGACACTCCTCCATTACTAACTCCTCTCTCTACAGTGCACCATGTAGATGCTAGAGACATAGTAGCAGTGATGGGAGACACAGGACTACCTCCTCCATTACTAACTCTCTCTCTTCAGTACACAGGGTAGATGCTAGAGACATAGTAAGCATGATGGAGACTCTGGTACTACCTCCTCATACTAACTCTCTCCGTCTCTTCAGTACACAGGTAGATCTAGATCATAGCTAGCAGTGATGGGATACCACAGGAACTACCCCTCCATACTAACTCCTCCTCCGCCTCTCTTCATACACAGGTAGATCTAAGAACATAGTTTACAGTGATGGAGACACAGGACTACCCAACCTTCCTCCATAAACTCTCTCTCTATTCATACAAAGGGTAGATCTAGAGACATAGTCAGCAGTGGATGAGACACTGGACTACACTCCTCCATTACTAACTCTCTCTCTCTTCATGCACAGGGTAGATGCTAGAAGACATAGTACAGTGATGGGGAGGACACAGAATACCTCTCCATTACTACTCTCTCTCTCTTCAGTACACAAGGGAGATGCTAGAGACCATAGTAGCAGTGATGAGACACGAGTACTACCTCCACCATTACTAACTACTCTCTCTCTCTTCATGCACAGGAGTAGATGCGAGAGACATAGTAAGTGATGGTAGACACAGACTAATACCTCCTCCATTACTAACTCTCTCTCTCTTCAGTGCAACAGGAGATGCTATAGAACATAGTAGCAGTGATGGAGACACAGGACTACCTCTCCAATTACGAAAATTCTCTCCTCCTTCAGTACACGCGTAGATCTAGAGACAAAGTACAGTGATGGAACACAGAACCTACCTCCTCCATTACTAACTCTCTCTCTCTCTTTCAGTACACAGGGTAATTCTAGAGACATAGAGCAGTGAGGGAGACACAGGACAACCTCCTCCATTACTAACTCCTCTACTCACTCTCTCAGTGCACAGGTAGAGCAAGAGACATAGTAGCAGTGATGGGAAGACACAGGCCTACCTCCGTCATTACTAACTCTCTCTCTCTTCAGTGCACAGGGTAGATGCCTAGAGACAATAGTACAGTGATGGTACACAGAATTACTCCTCCTTACTAACTCTCTCTTCTCTCTTCATACACAGGGGAAGATGCGAGAGACATAAGTAGCAGTGAGGGAGACACCAGGACTACCTCCTCCATTACTACCTCGCTCTCTTCATGCACAGGGTAAATGACTCGAGAACATATAAGCAAGGGATGGAGACACAGGACAACCTCCTCCATTACTCTACTCTCTCTCTCTCAGTGCACAAGGTAGATGCTAGAGACATAGTAGCAGTGATGGAGGACACAGGACTACCACCCCATTACTAACTCTCCCTCTCTCTTCAGTGCAACAGGGTAATTCTAGAGACATATATCAGTGATGGAGACACAGGAACTACCTCCTCCGTTTTATTCAACTTCTCCTCTCTCTTCAGTGCACAGGGAGATGCTAGAGACAAAATTAATCAGAGATGGAGACACAGAAACTTACCTCCTCCATTACTAAACTCTCTCTCTCTTCAGTGCACAGGTAGATGCTAGAGACAGAGTACAGTGATGGAGACACAACTACCTCCCCCATTACTAACTCTCACTCTCTTCAGTGCACAGGGTAATACTAGAGTACATAGTAGCAGTGATGGAGGACCAGGACTACCTTCCCCATTACTAACTCTCTCTCTCTTCAAAGTACACAGGTAGATCTAGAGACATAGTAGCAGTGATGGGAGACACAGGACTACCTCCTCCATTACTAACTCTCTCTCTCTTCAGTGCACAGGTAAGCTAGAACAAGAAGCTTGATGGAGACACAGACCTACCGCCTCCATTACTAACTATCTCTCTCATCATGCACAGGGTAAGATGCTAGAGACATAGTAGCAGTGATGGGAGACACAGGACTACCTCCTCCATTACTAACTCTCTCTCTCTCAGTACACAGGGTAGATGCTAGAGACATAGAGCATATGGGAGACCCAGACAACTACCTCCTCCATTCTTATCCTCTCTCCTCTCTCTCTCAGATACCCAGAGTAGATCAGAGACATAGTAGCAGTGATGGAGACCCAGACTAACCTCCTCCATTTTTATTTAACCCTAACTCCTCTCTCTCTTCATACACAGGGTAGATGCTAAGACATAGTAGCATGATGGGAGACACAGGACTACCTCCTCCATTACTAACTCTCTCTCTCCTTCATACACAGGGTAGAAAGCCCGAGAGAACATAGTACAGTGTGAAGAACTCAGACTACTCCTTCATACGAACTCCCTCTCACTCTCCTCTTCAGTTACCAGGGTAATGCTAGATACATAGTAGCCAGTGTGAGACACAGACTACCTCCTCCATAACTAACTCTCTCTCTTCAGTGCACAGGGTAGATGCTAGAGACATAGTAGCAGTGATGGGAGACACAGGACTACCTCCTCCATTACTAACTCTCTCTCTCTCTTCATTACACTAGAGAGATGCAGAGACATAGTAGCAGTGAATGGGAGACACAGGACTACCCTCCTCCATTACTAACTCTCTCTCTCTCTTCAGTACACATGGTAATGCAGAGACATAGTAATCAGTGATGGGAGACACAGGACTACCGCCTCCATTCAACTCTCTCTCTCTCTTCATGCACAGGGAAGATGCAGAGACATAGTAGCAGTGATGGGAGACACAGGACTACCTCCCCATTTCTATCTCTCTCTCTCTTCAGTGCACAGTGTATATCTAGAAGACATATAGCAGTGATGGGAGACACAGACTACCGCCTCCATTACTAATCTCTCTCTTCAGTCACAGTAGATGCTAGAGCCATAAGCAGTGATGGGAAGACACAGAACTACCTCCCTCCATTACTAACTCTCGCTCTTCATACACAGGGTAGATGCTAGAGACATAGTAGCAGTGATGGGAGACAACAGGACTATACCTCCTCCAATACTAACTCTCTCTCTCAGTACACAGGGTAGAGCAAGAGGACCATAGTAGCAGTGATGGGAGAACACCGACTACCTCCTCCATTACTAACTCTCTCTCTCTTCAGTGCACAGGGGAAGAAGCGAGAGACATAGTTACAGTGATGGGAGCCACAGGACTACCTCCTCCATACTAACTCCTCTCTCTCTTCAGTGCACAGGGTAGATTGCAAAGACATAGTAAGCAGTGAGATACACAGAATTACCTCCTCCATTACAAAACTCTCTCATCCTCTTCATACACAGGTAGATGGCTATAGACATAGTATCCAGTATGGGAGACACAGACTACCTCCTACCATTACTAACTCACTCTCTTCAGTACACATGGTAGATGCTAGAGACCATAGTTACAGTGATGGGAAGACACAAGGACTACCTCCTCCATTACTAACCTCTCACTCTCTCATTGCACAGGTAGATGCTAGAGACATAGTAGCATGATGGAGACACAGACTACCTCTTCCCCCCCATTACGAACTCTCTCTCTATCTCATCAGTACACACAGGGTATGCTAGAGACATAGTAGCAGTGATGGGAGACACAGGACTAACCTCCTCCTTACTAACTCGTCTCTCTCTTCAGTTCACAGGGTAAATGCTAGAGACAAGTAGCATTGATGGGAGACAACAGGACTACCTCCTCCATTACTAACTCTCTCTCTCTCTCTTCAGTACAACAGGGTAGAGCTAGAGCCATGTAGCAGTGATGGGAGGACCAGGACTACCTCCACCATTACTACTCTCTCTCTCTTCAGTACACAGGGTAGATGCTAGAGACATAGTAGCAGTGATGGGAGACACAGGACTACCTCCTCCATTACTAACTCTCTCTCTCTTCAGTACACAGGGTAGATGCTAGAGACATAGTAGCAGTGATGGGAGACACAGGACTACCTCCTCCATTACGAGGAGATAACGGAGGGAGAGATGGAACCCTTCATTAACGACGTCTGTTTAATGGTCAGTACTTAATTAGTTACTAATTACTAATCAGTTACTACTTACTAATTAGTGGGTCTCAATTACCGACGTCTGTTTAATGGTCAGTACTTAATTACTAATTACTAATTAGTTACTAATTACTAATTAGTGGGTCTTAATTAATTAAGTATGCTTAATGGTGACGTACGTGTTATGAATTTAATTAGTGGCCCTTGGTTTAGTTATTAATCTATTAATGGAGTATGTTTAATCGTTCCATTTGTTTATTTATTTCCTTGAAGCTGAATCATTTGATCGAATTTATCTATAAAATTAACCTGTATTATTATGTTCTGTCCCAAGTATGACTCCCTACAATCTTATCTTGTTTCATTTTGATAAACCTCTGTGCTTATCATCATGTACTTAGTAATGTAATGCTCTGAACTCGGCCAGTTCTTTGCAAAACAGTGTTTACATAAACTAGTTACAGAATTACAGGTTATCTTAGAGACAAAAAGTTTCTCTAAAATCACATACAATGTCCGTACATTCCGTACAATGTCCGTACATTCACAGCTACATTTCTCTAGTTGTACCCAGTTTTATAGTTTGTATAGTGTTGTTATTTACAAAGTATATTATTGCTCAGGCTGAGAGGAATATAGTTTGTATAGTGTTGTTATTTACAAAGTATATTATTGCTCAGGCTGAGAGGAATATAGTTTGTATAGTGTTGTTATTTACAAAGTATATTGTTGCTCAGGCTGAGAGGAATATAGTTTGTATAGTGTTGTTATTTACAAAGTATATTGTTGCTCAGGCTGAGAGGAACGCTGATACTACCATAGTATCATGTGCAGATCTTATACTAACCTGGATACTCCAGCTTTTTGACAGGTTCGTTTATCTGCCTGTCTTCCTGTCTGTTTTATTTAGCGGCACAGTTACCATGGTTACTGAGCTGGTTATTTAGCTGCTTGTACTTTGTCTGTCTGTCTGTCTGTCCCATTATTTCTGTCTGTTAACGATGTCTCATAAATATTAGCACTGAATTCCATTGATATACACTAAGGTGCAGGTGGTACAAATTTCAATGTGTTTTCAACGTATTTTCATACAAAGATACAAATTTCAATGTGTTTTAACTAACCTTATTTCAGTAATTACATAGGAGCGGTGAAAGTGAAACAGTTCACCACAGTGTTAGTTATAATGGGAGCTGGTCGCTTACTCGACAAGCTTAAATGTGAGTACACCAACAGTTGACCATAGTGAACTAGGTAATGATTCTGGCCCTTCTGGGGGGACAATTTGTAGTGCCCCCTTTTTAGATCATGAATACGGTGAACATGTCCTTATCCTGATGAGAGCCTTTTTCTTTTCCTTATAAACGGGACACAAATTTTGCCCCAGAATCAATACAACAATACGAATAATAAATAATGCTTCGATCCGGATATTACACAGCAACTGTGTAGTTTAAAAGTTTTAAATATATTGTAGTTAAGGTTTGTGCCGTATTTGAAGCTAGTTTAAGCTCCGTCAACTCAACTGAATGATAGATTAATGACACATCCTGTTGTACAGATCAAGAGGTGTTTGCAGCCAGCTAGTAACCCTGCAATGACCATAGTTCAGACACATCTGAAATTAACGTCCCGAACATTATACAACATGATCTAACAACATTCTTTAGAAACGAAAGAACTCCTTTAGAAACTAAAGTGTCAACTAAAGAATGTTTACAGCATACTTCAGATTTGTAAACGAGGAGTTCAGTACTAGAGTAGGTGCAGCTCTTAAATCATCAGAACTGTTTACTGTGCATGTACTGTGCATACTTTATTAATTATGTGCATATTTTATTAACTATGCAATATAATAGCAATGATATAATAGTCGTCAGTATTTTAGAGTATCTCTGCTTTAGCTCTGGTTTTAAAGAGATATATAATATGACGTGTATAATAATACGGTGATGGAATGTTTTAAAGAATTTCATAATGGAATTTTACGTTTAAAAGTCAAAAAATGTTATGAATTTTGTGAGTTGGCGAAGAAAATTCTTTTAGTGTTCAGTGAATAGTGAATAATACTAACGTCATACCATTATGTAAAGCAACAATAGATATTATACAATAATCTTTCCTACACAATACTCTAAAGTACACTGTACATGTCATTAGTACATACTACATACCATTAGTACATACCATTGTATTGAAATATTTAGCAAATTTATCAAGTCATGTGATCGCAAAGTTTTATTAAAGATGGTCAAACTAAGAATTGGCTGTACCTTTTATTTAATTAGTCCAATTCCATAGAAAAGAAGAGGGTTTATTTTACAGAAAAGTGGTTTATTTTACAGAAAAGTGGTTTATATTTACTGACTAGCAACGTTTAATTCTTCTACATTCCATCTTTTAGAATTAAAACAAATCCTTCATATTATTATGAGGCCAGGGTGTGGACTTAGAGCACTTCCATCCCATTACATAATACTGCAATACAACAAATTTACAATAAATTATTGTCCATCACTTTATCTCTTTCTGAAGGTCTGGTTGGATTACTAAGTCCTGTAATATTGAAGATCCAGTTCCACTTCTAGTTCTAATCTTATTAAACCACATTCTTCACATAGGTTGTTAACTGTGTTTGAATGAGGTCATTTTATGGAATGAAGTCATTAATTCATGACGTCACCACTTTATGACGTCATTGTTTCAGGAATTTAGCGCTAATCTGGAATGTCCACATTAATCAACATTTAAACCTGCAGAATTCCAAGTAATCTTCATTCTGGTATCTTCATCTGGGGAATGACCTAATCTTTCAGAGTATTTGACGTCATTTTGAGATTAATTTAAGGTCTAATTTTCTTGCAAATGACGTGAATAAAAATACTCCGATTAAATTCTTGATAAGGAGCCCCCTTACTTGTCGGACACGTTACTAAGGTCACTAAGGTTACCAAGGTTACCAAGGTAGCAGCTACACCAAACTTGCACTTTACACTCCTTGTGAACAATATCACAGATCAACACAACATGACGTAATGTCCTAAACACAGTGTATAATACCATGATGTAATGACAGTACATGGTGAGCAAGAGAGAGAGAGCCTGGTAATATGTTATAATACACACTAACACGATATTTAGCGAGTATTGGAGTCTCAGTTACCACTAGTTTTAACAACAATATCATGTTTCACCAGTGCTCTGTATCTCCAGCAGACTCATGATACAGAGGAGATACTATAGGAGATACTATCTTCTTTTCTATAGTCACCTAGTCTAGGGAGCAGCTAAGAATCCATTGGATCTAGGCGATCTCCTTTTCAGTAATAAAAGCCACTCTGTGCCAAGGCACTATACTAGTATACTAGCTGTAGGGGGGGGGGGGGGGGAAGGGGGTAGTCCTACGAGCCAGGGAGGGTTATATTTGACTAAATACTGTAACTATAATTATAGACCAAAGATGTTAATTATAGAATTCGACATGATCGTTGTTTAAAGGGGGGGGGGGTGTCACGTCCGTCTATGTCCGCTTGTCTCATAGAATCCAAAAAGGACAGGACATAGACGGACATAGGCGGACATAGGCGGACATAGACGGACATAGGCGGACATAGGCGGACATAGACGGACATAGGCGGACATAGGTGGACATAGGCGGACATTAATGGACACCTAAATTGCTAAATAAAATGTTCAATTTTTGCTGTTATAGGGGGATCATGTTTTTTGTCCGTTCGGTACCCTATATTTTCAAAACGGACAAAAAATAGAGCGGACAAAAACGGACAAAAATGGAAATAACATTTAGATGCTTCCTCCTCCTACTCTTCCTCCTCCTCCCCCTGGGTCTTCCTGATCTTCCTCAGTCCTCTTCCTCCTCCCCTCCTCAGTCCTCCTCCTACTCCTCCTCCTCGTCCTGAGTCCTCCTCATCAGTCCTCAACAGTCCTCCTCCTCCTCCTGAGTCCTCCTCCTGGGTCCTCCTCCACTTCATCCTGGGTCTTCCTGATCCTTCTCCTCCCTCTCAGTCATCCTTCTCCTCAGTCCTCCATCCTCCTCCTCAGTCCTCCCCCAGTCCCCCTCCTCCTCCTCCTATTCAGTCCTCCTCCTCCTCCTCTTCCCTCTCAGTCATCCTCCTCAGCCATCCTCCTCAGTCCTCCTCAGTCCTCCTCCTGAGTCCTCCTCCTGAGTCCTCCTCCTCTTCCTTCTGAGTCCTCCTCCTCAGTCCTCCTCCTCCTCCCTCTCAGTCATCCTCCTCAGTCATCCTCCTCAGCCATCCTCCCCAGCCATCCTCCTCAGCCATCCTCCTCAGCCATCCTCCTCAGTACTCCTCAGTCCTCCTCCTTCTCAGTCATCGTCAGTCCTCCTCAGTCTTCCTCAGTCCTCCTCAGTCCTCCTCCTCCTCCTGGGTCCTCCTCCTGGGTCCTCCTCCTCCTCCTCCTGGATCCTCCTGGGTCTTCCTGATCCTCCCCAGTCGTCTTCCTCCTCCCCTCCTCAGTCCTCCTCATACTCCTCCTCCTCGTCCTCAGTCCTCCTCATCAGTCCTCAACAGTTCTCCTCCTCCCCAGTCCTCCTCCTCCTCCTGGGGCCTTTTCCTGGGTCCTCCTCCTCCTGGGTCCTCCTCCTCCTGGGTCCTCCTTCTCCTCCTCAGTCCTTCTCCTCCTCCTCCTCAGTCATCTTCCTCCTCTTCCTCCTCCTCCTCCCTCTCAGTCATCCTCCTCAGCTATCCTCCTCCTTCTCAGTCCTCCTCCTGAGTCCTCCTCCTCCTCAGTCATCCTCCTCAGTTCTCCTCCTCAGTTCTCCTCCTCCTCCTCCTAGGTCCTCCTTGTGGGTCCTCCTCCTCCTCCTCCTGGGTCGGACATAGGCGGACATAGGCGGACATTAATGGACACCTAAATTGCTAAATAAAATGTTCAATTTTTGCTGTTATAGGGGGATCATGTTTTTTGTCCGTTCGGTACCCTATATTTTCAAAACGGACAAAAAATAGAGCGGACAAAAACGGACAAAAATGGAAATAACATTTAGATGCTTCCTCCTCCTACTCTTCCTCCTCCTCCCCCTGGGTCTTCCTGATCTTCCTCAGTCCTCTTCCTCCTCCCCTCCTCAGTCCTCCTCCTACTCCTCCTCCTCGTCCTGAGTCCTCCTCATCAGTCCTCAACAGTCCTCCTCCTCCTCCTCCTCCTTCTCAGTCCTCCTCCTCCTCCTGAGTCCTCCTCCTCTTCCCTCTCAGTCATCCTCCTCAGCCATCCTCCTCAGTCCTCCTCAGTCCTCCTCCTTAGTCCTCCTCCTCCTGGGTCCTCCTCCTCCTCTTCATCCTCCTCCTCTTCCTCCTCGGTCCTCAGTCCTCCTCCTCCTCCTGGGTCCTCCTCCTCATCCTTCTCATCAGTCCTCCTCCTCCCCAGTCCTCTCCCAGTCCCCCTCCTTCTCCTCCTCCTATTCAGTCCTCCTCCTCCTCCTCCTCCTCCTCAGTTCTCCTCAGTCCTCCTTTTCATTTCTCCTAAGTCCTCCTCCTGAGTCCTCCTCCTGAGTCCTCCTCCTCTTCCTTCTGAGTCCTCCTCCTCAGTCCTCCTCCTCCTCCCTCTCAGTCATCCTCCTCAGCCATCCTCCCCAGCCATCCTCCTCAGCCATCCTCCTCAGCCATCCTCCTCAGTACTCCTCAGTCCTCCTCCTTCTCAGTCATCGTCAGTCCTCCTCCTCAGTCCTCCTCAGTCCTCCTCCTCCTCCTGGGTCTTCCTGATCCTCCCCAGTCGTCTTCCTCCTCCCCTCCTCAGTCCTCCTCCTACTCCTCCTCCTCGTCCTCAGTCCTCCTCATCAGTCCTCAACAGTTCTCCTCCTCCCCAGACCTCCTCCTCCTCCTGGGGCCTTTTCCTGGGTCCTCCTCCTCCTGGGTCCTCCTCCTCATGGGTCCTCCTTCTCCTCCTCAGTCCTTCTCCTCCTCCTCCTCAGTCATCTTCCTCCTCTTCCTCCTCCTCCTCCCTCTTAGTCATCCTCCTCAGCCATCCTCCTCCTTCTCAGTCCTCCTCAGCCATCCTTCTCAGCCATCCTCCTCAGTACTCTTCAGTACTCTTCAGTACTCTTCAGTACTCTTCAGTCCTCAAAATGTTTGTCCGCTAATGTCCACCAATGTCCGCTAATGTCCACCAATGTCCATCCAAGTCCGCCAATGTCCGTCCGGGTCCGCCAATGTCCGTCCGAGTCCGCCAATGTCCGTCCGAGTCCGCCAATGTCCATTGGGGCCTTTTCCTGGGTCCTCCTCCTCCTGGGTCCTCCTACTCCTGGGTCCTCCTTCTCCTCCTCAGTCCTTCTCCTCCTCCTCCTCAGTCATCCTCCTCAGCCATCCTCCTCAGCCATCCTCCTCAGTCCTCCTCCTTCTCAGTCCTCCTCCTGAGTCCTCCTCCTCCTGAGTCATCCTCCTCAGTTCTCCTCCTCCTCCTAGGTCCTCCTTCTGGGCCCTCCTCCTCCTCCTCCTCCTGGGTCTTCCTGATCCTTCTGGGGGACTTGGGGAATTACGTCAACGATTTTACCCCGAGTCCCCATTATTTTTAGTCCCCATTAGTCCCCAAAAGTCTCCATTAGTCCCCATTTAGATGATTTTTAGTCCCCATTAGTCCCCAAAAGTCTCCATTAGTCCCCATTTAGATTTATCCTACTCTTATCTTGGACAAAACATCTCGATCGTATCGTTATTAAACTAACTTGAAAACCATAAATAACTGTCAAAAATTCTGGGGACTTATGGGGACAAATGGTGAATTACGTCAACGAGTTGACCTCTAGTCCCCACGATTTTTAGTCCCCATTAGTCCCCAAAAGTCTCCATTGGTAGTCATTACCCCCCCCCCCCCATCCTTCTCCTCCCTCTCACTTCTCAGTCATCCTCCTCAGTCATCCTCCTCAGTCATCCTCCTCAGCCATCCTTCTCAGCCATCCTCCTCAGTACTCTTCAGTACTCTTCAGTACTCTTCAGTCCTAAAAATGTTTGTCCGCTAATGTCCACCAATGTCCGCTAATGTCCATCCAAGTCCGCCAATGTCCGTCCGGGTCCGCCAATGTCCGTCCGAGTCCGCCAATGTCCGTCCGAGTCCGCCAATGTCCGTCCGTGTCCGCCAATGTCCCAAAAAACACGTCCGTTGTCTCATAGAATCCAAAAAGGACAGGACATAGGCGGACATAGACGGACATGACACCCCCCCCCCTTTAAATTTTAGAAACCTGTTTAAAACACCGGATATAAGAGCGGATATAAAGGACTAAGTTTATAAAGGAGTAAGCTTATGATTCAAGTGTTGACGTGAAATTAATTTAGACTCAAGTTATTCGTAAGAAAGCAGGGAGATGAATTGCCTGAGGGATTCCTCAGAATTTGTGATTTCATCATCATAGAACAAGATGATGATGAGTGAAATTGTCACTTTTTTGTCGTATTTTTGACAACTCTCTATATAACTCTATAATACTGAGGCAGCTGAAGTTAATAAAATGTAGAACTTACAATAGTTTTATTTCAGTTCTGTTCGACACATTTAAAGGATCTGACGGGACTCTCAGCCAGGAGGGATTCAGCGAGCTCATGACGGATCTCCTTCTCGTGAGTTTATAATCACGTCACCATGGCATCACGTAACCATGGTATCACGTGACCATGGCCGAGTTGAACGCGGGTGTTTCACATTCACACCATGCCACCCTAACACTGCCAAAAATTTGATAGCGTCTACCTCTACATTGCTGCTAAGTATAAAGTTGCCCAATTCCAAATATTTATTTTAACCGTTTTCAGATACCATGCTCTGTGTTTGAAGAGGATATTTACGGTCACTCTACTCTAGTACTCAGTGCTATCTTCGAGTGCTTCAATCAGGTAGTTCTATCAATTAGTTAATTAATTAATTAAATTATTAGGATCAAATAATTCCGTTTTGATTATTTGTTGATCACGTTCTAAATACACATATATTGAAGATGGGTTTTAAAACTTATGACACTAAACTTAGTCACTACACGTGTCACCACTGTCATCTTGTCATGTGTGTAACCACGTGCGTAACCATGTGTGTAACCACGTGTGTAACCACGTGTGTAACCACGTGCGTAACCACGTGTGTAACTGTGTAACCACGTGTGTTATTAATCAGGTAATATTTATTACTCCAGTATTATTTATCTGATCAATATGTCTCAGCTTGTTCAACTAGATCTAAGTTCTACCTTATCATAGCGGCACTTATCTGCGTTATATTATCTATACTATAATTTAAACTTGACGAAATTTCCCCGGCAACGGGGACATAGAAGAAAAAACACCGAAAATCGACCTCAAAATGACCCTCTGGTGAAATCAAACCCAGCTCGCAAATGGAGTTGAAACCTCGCCATTTTTAGCAGGGTTGTAGAAAAAGGATAGGAATAGGCTATAGCATTCTTAGAATTTTGATTTAGGCTTTAGATTTTTTATAATTAGCGTCGGAAGTGAGGTAAAATAACCGTTAGAATAATGTCGTTATTTTAGCAAAGGTTTACTGCGCTGTTGCGTAGCAACGTTAAAATGCACGTGCGCGAGCAAGAACATCTTAACTACGCGCGTTGTTATGCTGTATGCTACGTCATAATTTCAAAACTAGCTCACATTTACGCTCACGCTATGACTTATATTCATAACTTTGGTTGTGATTGGTATTTTTTGATGCGGTAAAAAGTATCGTTTTGGGAATCCGAATACTAACAACGCTGTCGCCATTGTTAGATAAATTCCATTATGTCTACAGTATAACAGAGCTATATGATGAAGAGAAATTAAAACATAACAACCTCAACAGAAGACTAAATTTTTATTGACATTGTACTGTAATTTTCACTTTCCCACCCACACCTCCCCCACCCTCCATCCCTGACACCACTCAATCACATATAAGCATTGTCCACCACATCACATTCAGCTGACGACGATTAACACATGTTTATTGAAAGCTTCTACAAGTTAAATCATCGTATCTCTTATATGTTTTTAACCCAACTCCACTCAGTTATAACTGATTTTTAAAATTTCCTCGAACAAAGCTTTCGACTAGCGGGTTTCTAGTGATATATATTATACAGTTAGCAGTGTATTACATACAGTCGTATTATGATATAAACAGTATAATACATGGATAGATTGAGGTATTATTGTACGTGGTTTACCAGAAATTTTAAAATTTCCTCTCAGATACAAAATTTCGCTTTGCTCGCGAATTTTCGTTTTCAGCCAGTCGAAGACCAGCAAATTATATCCATAAATAGGCGAAGTTCACAGTTTCCATGCCTAGAGAGTGAGAAAGCACTATTTATAGTAAACTTTTACCCTTTCAGAGGACTTTATAATCAGGTTCAGTCATGATAGTCACACTAACAAAAGTATTTTAGTCATGATAGTCACACTTACAAGTATTTTAGTCATGATAGTCACACTTACAAGTATTTTAGTCGTGATAGTCACACTTACAAGTATTTTAGTCATGATAGTCACACTAACAAAAGTATTTTAGTCATGATAGTCACACTTACAAGTATTTTAGTCATGATAGTCACACTTACAAGTATTTTAGTCGTGATAGTCACACTTACAAGTATTTTAGTCGTGATAGTCACACTTTCAAGTATTTTAGTCATGATAGTCACACTTACAAAAGTATATTCCCCCTCAATTTTGTTACGTCAGACGCCTCGTGTAACCCGTTTCGTTATTATCTCCATTTACCGAGCCAAAGTACCCGTTTTATTATTACATAAACAATTTACAGCAATTACACATCCATTATGTAATGATCCGCGTTTATCAGTCATCCTAACTATGCTAAATATACGTCACAGCCACGTGACTTAATCACAACATCACGTGACGTCACCACAACATCACGTGACGTCACCATAACATCACGTGACGTCACCACAACATCACGTGACGTAATCACAATATCACGTGACGTAATCACAACATCACGTGACTTAATCACAACATCACGTGACGTCACCACAACATCACGTGACGTCACCACAATATCACGTGACGTCACCACAACCTCACAATTACACATCCATTATGTAATGATCGTGTTTATCAGTCATCCTAACTATTCTAACTATACGTCACAGCCGCGTGACGTAATCACAACATCACGTGACGTCACCACAACATCACGTGACGTCACCATAACATCACGTGACGTCACCACAACATCACGTGACGTAATCACAATATCACGTGACGTAATCACAACATCACGTGACGTCACCACAACATCACGTGACGTCACCACAACCTCACAATTACAGTTTACACATCCATTATGTAATGATCGTGTTTATCAGTCAGTTTAACTATTCTAACTATGATGTAACCCTTAGTAGCTTTGTAGGAGATATTTAATTACTTCAAACTGTAAGTCACATTAACTGTCTCGAGTTTTAAAGTTTTAACTGGTACAGCAGTTGATCCATTCACTATATTATTATGTATATTCTACCCTGTATATTCTACCCTGTATATTGTACCCTGTATATTCTACCCTGTATATTCTACCCTGTATATTCTACCCTGTATATTCTACCCTGTATATTCTACCCTGTATATTCTACCCTGTATATTCTACCCTGTATATTCTACCCTGTATATTCTACCCTGTATATTCTACCCTGTATATTCTACCCTGTATATTCTACCCTGTATATTCTACCCTGTATATTCTACCCTGTATATTCTACCCTGTATATTCTACCCTGTATATTCTACCCTGTATATTCTACCCTGTATATTCTACCCTGTATATTCTACCCTGTATATTCTACCCTGTATATTCTACCCTGTATATTCTACCCTGTATATTCTACCCTGTATATTCTACCCTGCATATTCTGCCCTGTATATTCTACCCTGTATATTCTACCCTGTATATTCTACCCAGATCGGTCACGAAAGACAGAAGCTGACTTTGGACGAGTTCCTGCTGTGGTGTACCAAATCACCCTTCTGTTTGTCATGGCTGTTCACGTTTCACAGGTAATTAATAACATCTTAATCAATTAAATTGATATTTTTATCAATTGACTCATTAATTTTCCAATTATTATTTCAAAGGGTTTGCCTATCATTTTGAAGTTCTGATTCCTGGTTTACCCTAAACTCCTAAAGTGGAATCTTTTAAAAATACCACAGTCGTGTTTAACATAAGATAACAATAATGTTATAATCAGCTGTTTTCAATAATCACTGCAGTATATCTATACTATATATTGCATACTTGTTGTTAAATTGGATAAGCTTTGGGATTTTCGGGGGTAAAATTTGCAACAAACCCTTTCAACTTTGTCTTGATCTCATCTAAAATTGCAATTTGGTATCCTTCTGGGTGTCTGCGTGATGGTATCCTCAAATCTCGATGCTCATCATCCTATATTACATACTATAACTATTATACTGAGAATGTGTTATATCTATACTATATACTATATATTACACACTATTATACTACTAAGAATGTGTTATGCTTGATTATTTTTGTACTCATCAGTTCATATCTTAGCTCAGTATTATTTCAGAATGTTCTTGAAATATAAACTCATTATACTCGTGCATGCGAGCCAACGTGTTTCTTATACTTGAACATGATCAAACTATTTGCTATCTGTGGAATATTTAACAAATTATATTTCATGATACTATAATACGCATGATATAAAGCATTCGAATTCTGAAGAATACTCAAAGAGTTGAACATGTTGAAAGAAACAGTTCAAGTTGATATGTTGCAGTTCAACATAATGGATAAGTTCCCTTATTTTGCAGGTTGATGAGTTCAGAGTACAATGTTAACCTCAGTTCTTGCTCTAACTGTGGAGTTGCACCCTTCTTGGGATTTAGGTGAGCAATTTTACTATTTCTACTGGAATCTCTTATTTCTTGTGTAACATTTAGAAACAAAACGATAGCAGATTTAAAAGATATTAAAAACATGAATTGTTATCACCCCATCATCGACACTTCTAATGTTCCGTTTACAACTATATGACATCAAAAACAATCCTAATAAGCTATCCATCTGTTTTGGGAAAATTTGATCAACAGTTATCGTCCACACTGCTCCTAATACAACTAGCTGATATTTCAGTATAGCGTGTGTATATATTGCAATATGATCAGTCACCCCAGTCACTAGTCGAGTACTGCTCTAAAGGTTTAACATAAACATTAAACATCCGCTACACCAACCAATATTATATACACACTGAGCGTAAAGCACATTTACAGGAATCTATATCTAGTCAACAAACGCTGACCACGCCCAACTTATGAGTTAATAAAGTAATTCTATTAAGTCATTAACTAATTACGGGAATGTTGCAGGTATGTAGCATTGCACAGATACACAGTGGCAATCTGCCAGGAATGTATGTGGACTGGAAACTGTGAAGAAACTGAATTCAGAGAATTCGGAGCACTGGTGAGTGTGCTTTTTGTCACGTCATTTTGTTGATAACGTATTACTTATAATTTGACAACAATGAATTCAGTACTTACTACCTACTGATATTAACATAAATGGCGAGAGGCGACTGAAATCACTTAAAAATCCGTAGGAAGTGTCACGTTTATGTAACGCGCGAAGCGATTTTAGTATATTGAGCATCTCTAATCTCGCGCGCGTGTTTATCCTGGCCGGCCGGGAGCGCGCGAAGCCGCGATTTTAATAAGACCGAGTTCCGAGACGACCATTCAAAGGACCTAGTCGAGTATCATGTCATCATAGCGCGATTCCTGGGCATGTAATTATTGAAAAAAGAACAGTCACTGATTTAAGAGGAGATCATGAAGCTATACTGCCGGCTTTGTCCTTGTGAACTAAGTGGGTTTAAACCATATTACTAGAAATTCTCCGGAAAAGTAGGCCATAAATGGACATGGATGACCTAAGCGCAGCCATAGGACCGATTGTTAAAGTTTGACGTAAAATTGTACGTTGAAGTATTGCCAAAAGTACAATCCACCCACTTGAAAGTGTAAAGTTATCTTTGAAAGGCTTCTTAATAATGTAGTACGCGGGTGCGTTAGTTTTGAGTGTACTTTTAATTACTAGTAAGATATTAGATACTTGTGTTAATGTAGAACCAGGTAACCAGGTAATCAGGTAACCAGGTAATCAGGTAATCAGGTAACCAGGTAACCAGGTAACCAGGTAACCAGGTAACCAGGTATAGAAGATGCGGCGAAACAAATAGAAAGCACCTCAGTCTGTCTGTACAGATTTGTTTTTGATGATCTTTTGTCCAATTTATTACTGAATCCTCCTCCAGAGCCAGTGTGTGAATGTAACAGTTGTACCGATGAAGACGGTGGGGTCCACGACTAGCATCGCTAACTCTAACACTTTATCGCAAGTTCATCAGTGGTAAGTTGTCCCTACTTTACAGTTTTAAGCTGCAAATGAGGTTCTGTAATGACTACTCTGAATACAGAGATTTACTTATAGTGATAATAATAATAATATTATGATATTATAATGATATTATAATATAATTGTAATGATATGGTTGCTTAATAATATTATTTTTCAGTCTTGATAAGAGGCATAGCATGTTGCTGACCTACAGCAAGCGACTCGATCCTAAATCTACCTCACATTTTGTGGTGAGTCCTAATTGCTGACTTTTTGTCATAGAGATTATCGTCACATTCGTTAAAACACATGCTGAAAAAGAAAATGAAAGCAAGAAGAATGTTGTTCTTTTTGAATATAGATTTTGTTTTGTGTTTTCTTAGCTTTTCCTCCATCCCAGAGTCTGTACGAAGCAGTGCAATCTAAGGACGATAACTTAGAGGCTTTTATAGGCGAGTGTGAGGACAGGGCGCTAAAACTACAACGGGATTTTCATGTTCTTTGTAAAGAACACAGGTGATTAGTAATTAATAATTAGCAATAAATCGGGGGGGGGGGGGGGGGGGCCGCATGAGTATTTTTGAGAATGTTTGAATCTGAGAATTTGACCATTTTCGCCGGTAATACTCAAAAATGATTTTTGAATCTGAGAAATTCAGCATGGATTTCTCATTTTCTCAAAAATTGTCCACTCAAAAATTGTGATAATTCAAATCATTTATATCAGTGCAATGTGGTCCAATTGAAATGAAAAATACTCAAAATCAATTTTTGAGAATGAGTTTTTCGCCTCTCCTGGAAACTTTTCTCAAAAATACTCATGACCCCCCACCCCATAAATCCATCAGCTTTTACGTGATTTATAAAAAGGAGCAATTACTAACGTCTGAATTAAGATGTCAAAAGTTTCAACTAATTCCACGTAAATAACATCCTGATTAAAACATGTCTTCCGTTAATTAATTAAACAGTTAAACTGTTATTTCAGTGAGATACTAAAATTGGAACGTAAAGATAACGAACACGAAAGTTTCATAGCGTGGCAGAGACGAGATGATATGGCCAGTAGGCTAGCGATATGGATGTCACGAAGAAATGATCTATACATAAAACAGGTTAGTCAGTATTTTTATAGTACCTGAAATTGAATGGTATTAGACTTATTATCTCAGGGTATTGCTGTTTTCAGCTCTCTATCTCTTTTACCTTATCGGACATTGTTTGACAGGACATTGCGTGAACAGACATGATTTTGAATTATGTCCGGACATTAAAATGAACGCTCGAAGGCACTCATTTTATGTATTACATTCTACTTTGTCGGAATTTTAGCTGATTCCAAGATATAGATGTCTGAGATCTAAATAAAATTGATACAGAATAGCAAGAAAATTTGATTGTTAATACTGATAAAATAAAGTACAACAAACCCTCGATTTACCGTGCCTCGATTTACCGCAAAAAACGGTTTTTTCCGAACATTTAGATTTTCAACAATTTTGGGAATTAGAAGTTGATAAGTCCCCGGAATATCATCCGTGCTATAGTAAAACTCTATCATTAGTTACTTCATTAGTAGTTAGTTAATACTTGTACGAGGGTGGTATCTACCTGATTAACGTGTTTAGTCCACTTTTTCCATTGTCTGGTCGGTTCCATGAGTCCTCAAAGGGTGTCTACTGAACAGGTGGATACAATGAACTACTTCAGGACACATTTCCATGTTGTCACATCGGTAATGAGTCGTCAAAGGAAATGAATACAACAACAAGTTCAGGATACATTTCCATGTTGTCACATGATTTCTGTATTAAAGCTAAAGGTTACATCATTGATGTATCCAGCTCAGGAATTGTTGGGTTTTACCTGGATAAGTGTGTTACCTGGTTACCTGGTTACCTGGTTACCTGGTTACCTGGTTACCTGGTTACCTGGTTAACTGGTTACCTGGTTACCTGGTTACCTGGTTACCTGGTTTCCTGGTTACCTGGTTACCTGGCTACCTGGTTTCCTGGTTACCTGGTTACCTGGTTAACTGGTTACCTGGTTGCCTGGTTAACTGGTTACCTGGTTACCTGGTTACCTGGTTTCCTGGTTACCTGGTTACCTGGTTACCTGGCTACCTGGTTACCTGGTTACCTGGTTATCTGGTTATCTGGTTACCTGGTTACCTGGTTACCTGGTTGCCTGGTTACCTGGTTACCTGATTGCCTGGCTACCTGGTTACCTGGTTACCTGGCTAGTGGCTACCTGGTTACCTGGTTGCCTGGTTACCTGGTTACCTGGTTACCTGGTTACCTGGTTACCTGGTTACCTGGTTACCTGGTTACCTGGTTACCAAGATAAGTGTATCCAGGTTATAACGACTAATATTTAACAATAAGAGATGAATGAAGAAGAGTTATTTGATATTTTGACCAACATGAAACGATTTTTATTTAAAATTTTAAAAGGCAATGCCTACGGTTGATGAAAATCTAGCGTCCGCTAACCGGCGCAATTCTTGTTAATAAAACTGTACGCGGGTAAACTATCATGACGTACCTAATCTAACAGAGCCGCTTATTTCAATTGTTCTATTGGTCATGAGTCGTTAAAAGGAACGCTACAAATGGGTTACACTGATCATGTAGCACCAACATGGAAATGTATCGTGTTTGAAACACGGTCTTTATTAGCAGTAGGTACCCCAAACCATACAGTCTTAGCAAATCGATGGAATTCCAATGTTATCATCCAAAATGTACTATTTTTTGGTTTATGTTTGGTGCTGAACTAATTAAAAAATGTGGCCAAGAACGAGTAAGTTTGACGTTACTTTTAGGGGGTTTTCAAAGAGCAGAGAAAATTAAGGGAAAATTAGAGCTTTGTATTAAGTACAGTAAACATCGCGAACTTCGGGTGAAAAAGAAAACCAGCGGTTAATTGGGGTCTATGATCGGTTAAGATGGGTTGGTAAGGAAAAAAAGGAAGTGATATTATGTTCGATAGTCCCAGGATAAAAAACAATTTATGGGGGGGGGGGGGGGGGCCGGGGGGGCTACTTGTACTTGATAAGGTCTCCTCCTAGTGGAGTGGACTGTACCACACAGTGACTCCTTATTGCGATGAATGAGACCTTTCCAATGTACCCTGTTTGTTGCTTGTTGCTCTGCAGCTTCCATTGTGATAGAAATTAATTAAAATTCTTGCTATATTTTACATTATATTATATACATTGAAACGTAGTGTCACGTTTTATAAACACTGCATAAGTAATCAGTATTATCATTGTTCAGTAGGGATAGCTTACAGTAGGGATCACGTACAGCTGTAGGGATCACGTATAGTTTGGATCACGTACAGTAGGGATCACGTACAGTAGCGATCACGTATAGTTTGGATCACGTACAGTAGGGATCACGTACAGTAGCGATCACGTACAGTAGGGATCACGTACAGTAGGGATCACGTACAGTAGCGATCACGTACAGTAGGGACGCTGAGACCTTAGCTTTCATTTTAATGTCTGTTAAAATAACATGAACGCTAGGGTCTCCAGCGTCCAATTACTGTCCGTTAAAATAAAGTCCAAGTTTAGTAGCTCAATTTTTAAAACCGTATGAGGGTGGATATCGGCTCAGACGCTTTCAACCTTCCAGACCCTTTCATCTTGCGTTAAAGTGCGTCAATGAAGGGACGAACACAAAGAGTGAGGGGGGGACACAAAGAGGACCCTCATGACACATTTCCATGTTGCACCCTATCTCCTGACATCATCACCACGGAATTTATACCAGTGTAATAGATGTTTACTTAACCAGCTAGCTCAACACGAAATCTCATAATTTGTATCAAGCAACCTCGCAAAGATGCTTCAATCCCTCTCTCTTCTCGCTCTGCTCTCCACCTCGTGCGGTGTCTGGCTGGACCTCTATGAGCACGACAATACCAATGGAAACAAGGTACGACTGACTGGACCTGTAGATTGGCTTGGAAACGTTCACTTTAATGATGCAGCATCCAGTGCACGAGCTGACGGGAACTGGGAACTGTACTCTGAATGGAACTTTGAAGGGCTGAGGATGGCAGTGGAAGGTGGTCGTCACTACAACAACTTAGGGGGTACCTTCAACGACGCAGTCTCCTCAGCACGACCTACTTGTATTTACACAGGGGATGCTAATGATGCCCTGCTAGAAGTTTGGGAGCATGGTGACCACCGTGGAACCAAGAAGTCCTACACGAAGGATGAAGCGAACCTGAGCGATTGGAACGACAGGATTAGCTCTGCGTGCGCTGTTAAGGGGGACTGGGAGTTATACGAACACGACATCTTTACAGGAGTTAGATGGGTGATCAAAGAGAACGAATGCCATAACATAGTGGCACACAACGATTACTACACCTCCCTGCGACCCCTCTGCGCCAGCTACCACCCAAAGTGTACTGTAACGAAAGTCAGGGTAGGAACCCAGGGTTTGTTGACGCCCAGATACGAATCAACAGAGGTTATTGGCGCTAACGATGGTGGCACGTGCACTGGCCCGTCCACTTACACCCTGAGCATGCAACACTCGAGGCAAGTCACGGAATCGACCACGCTCGAGTTCGGGGAGAGTAACGAGGACAACTGGGACGTGTCGGTGACAGTGGAAGTGGAGGCAGCTGCTAAGGTGTTCGGAGCAGGAGGTTCGGTTACCATGGGTGTTTCTGTCGGGTTCGGAGGATCCCGAACTGTCTCCAAAACAGAATCTACGACAAAAGAAGTGGCCCACCAGTCTTTAGTAGGGATGAGTGTAGCTTTTCCAGTGCCCGGAGCTGCTTTAGTGTTCGGACTGGTGGACAAGTACAAGATGGATGGAGCTGACGTACCAGCCACAATGGAGCTACTGTGTCCTGATGGAAGCACCAAAGAGAAGAAGACCCACATTAAAGTGAAGTCCACTACCTACTCTTCTGCCACCTTCTGGTCACTGCAAGGAAAGTTTAACACTGGGCCGTGTAACAGAGATTGGACATTGCCATTTTGTGTTAAACACCTTCGGCAACGGTACTCAAACTTTATCGGGAACAGGCAAGAAATTGTAGACGGTTTCCGTGCTTGTTTTGCACATGGTAAAGGGACCATTAATGGTTTTAAAGAGAAGAAATAAACTTATTTGTTATTAAGTTTATTTCTTTTAAAAATCAACCCTATTTCTTGGTTTTTCATTTCATATCTTCATATATTTCTCGCTTTGTCTTTCAAAAATCATTTTGCACCCGTTTCTTGCAATCGTTTCTTGATTTTGTTTATCTCTTATCTAGTTGACCGATAGTATTTTCCTTATTAGTGATATAGTGAGATGTTTGTTTTACTTTTCTTGCAAGCATTCCTTACACAATGAATAAATCAATAACGCCAATGGATTCTTAAAATTATCAAACATCCATAGAAAACAATTCTTATTCAGTTTCTAATCAGATAGTGGAACAGTGTTAAATAATCTGGAAAAGAAATTTATCTTGAGATAGTTGCCGTCTATCAATGATAACATTATGGGTTAAGTCAGGCTAAAAATCGTAAGAATTACACACTTCTTCTTCCTCGCTGGTTTCACAATCCGATTCCTCAGTGAAATTAACTAACCTGAACTCCTCCTGTCCTCTGGATAGCTAGAAATCCCAAAATAAAGCAAACATTTTGTCATCACTCATTCATAATTGGCATGTGTCAGTTTTAAAAATCGGATCGAAAAAAGTTTAAAATTAGAGTTATTCACTGCTCATGGAGTCACATGCCAAATTTTCCTTTTTTTTTATGTCGTTGTATCATGTTGATCCTACCTATTGAACCTATTGATAGGTTTAGAAGTAGGCATCTTCACGGCCATCACGCAATCTGCGGACCACCTCCTTGACTGCACCAGTCTATTATCGAGTTAGAGTTTTCTGCACTGTATCCAGGAGTAGGGGGCTTGTCTGGAAGGGTGTCTAGGAAGTTTCCAAGAGATGTCTTGAAGCTTGTCAAAGTCCTTTGAGTATTGACAATTTTGGGGAGAACATTCCAGAGTCTTCCAGCTCTCACTGCGAATGAGTGGTCGTAGGTGGAGCGTGCAGCAGCTGATGCTTTTTTTGTGAGAGAAGGGAGTAT